ACAGCCCAACCATGGGGATCGAGCCCCAACATATACAGCTATCCTCCTCAATCCATTGGGCCCGTTCACCCTATCAGTGGTAGATGCTTTGTCCCAACATTCTGACATTGTCTGGACAGCTTGGTCTGGTAAAGGAAGTTGAAAAATAAAAAAAAAGTTTTACTGGCAGGATCACCAGGTGAAAATAAAGAGAAAAATTTTTTTTTAAAAAAAAAATGAATGCAGCCATCACATGTTTTAGAACCTTTACAGCCAGTCTGGAGCTAACGGTTGGCCTTAGAAGGATTCCCCTCACTCCGGGGTACACGGCAATACCAAGGATTGTTTACCTTTATGTGAAAAATTCATGAAGGAAAAAAACCTTCAGCCTTTCCAGCCACTTAAACGTCCAGTCAGAAAACAGCTGAAAAAATGAACCTAAATCCGTGTTTGGTGCTCCAGCATTTGGGCCTTCGTTCATTCTGTTGGCCAGAATATTAATGGATTGATTCTGGCCATTAGAATGAATAAATGAAGCCTCCAGCGCAGGCGGTGTCACACGCAGGCACATCAAGAGGTTTTTCTACTCAAAAGCTCCTCTCCTGAATGCTCTGGTGATGGATTTTTTTTTTCTGCCTGTAAAACGCTCCTGCTTCTAAACTCCTGTAAATGCCTGAATGTGAACAGACACAGGCTAAAAAATACCTCAAATGCCTATAATAGCATCATATTCTACATCCTGTGTGCGTGAGGCCGCCCAATATATGCATCGCATTTTCTCTTCATTGTCCCCCCGAAGAATCCCCCCGAAGACAGGCAGCAGCCGCTCAACATACAGATTCTTATCCTGCCTGTTCTGGGCCCAACGCTCTACCCATACCTCTTATTTATTATGTAGGTACCTGTATAGCGCCAGCAACTTACATAGCGCTTTGCAATACTATATATATATATACACATACACTAACACACACATACATATATATACATATATATATACATATATATACATATATATATGTTCCCCTGCTGATGTTGAATGTTCGCCCCTCACACAGAAACGATCGGTCTAACAATGGAATGTTTCGGTCGGTAACACTGAGAGACAGAATACAGCAACAAATTCAGCAGAAATGCGTCTAACAAATGATGACTGATCTGCATGTTCATGAGGGAAAGAAGGATTTGATCCCCTTCACAAAACATGACTTAGTACTTGGTGGCAAATCCCTTGTTGGCAATCACAGAGGTCAGACGTTTCCTGGAGTTGGCCCCCAGGTTCGCACACATCTCAGGAGGGATTTTGGCCCACTCCTCTTGGCAAATCCTCTCAAAGTCATTAAGGTTTGGTGGTTGACGTTTGGCAACTCGAACTTTCAATTCCCTCCACAGATTTTCAATCGGATGAAGGTCTGGAGACTGGCTAGGCCACTCCAGGACCTTAATGTGCTTCTTCTTGAGCCGCTCCTTTGTTGCCTTGGCCGTGTGTTTTGGGTCATTGTCATGCTGGAACACCCATCCACCACCCATTTTCAATGGCCTGACTGAGGGAAGAAGGTTCTCACCCAAGATTTGAGGATACATTGCCCCGTCCATCGTCCCTTTGATGCAGTGCAGTTGTCCTGTCCCCTTAGCAGAAAAACACCCCCAAAGCAGAATGTTTCCACCACCATGTTTCACAGTTGGGATGGTGTTCTTGGGGTCATAAGCAGCATTCCTCCTCCTCCAATCACAGCGAGTTGAGTTGATACCAAAGAGCTGGATTTTGGTCTCATCTGACCACAACACTTCCCACCAGTCCTCCTCTGCATCATTCAGATGTTCAGTGGCAGACTTCAGACGGGCCTGGACATGGCTTTCTTGAGCAGAGGGACCTTGCGGCACTGCAGGATTTCAATCCTTGTCGGCGTAGTGTGTTACCAATTGTTCTCTTGGTGACTGTGGTCCCAGCTGCCTGGAGATCATTGACAAGATCCTCACGTGTAGTTCTGGGATGATTCCTCACTGTTCTCATGATCATTGACACTCCACGAGGTGAGATCTTGCATGGTGCACCAGACCTAGGGAGACTGACACTTGTTTTGTGTTTTCTTCCATTTGTGAATGATTGCACCAACTGTTGTCACCTTCTCACCAAGCTGCTTGGCCATAGTTTGGTAGCCCAGTCCAGCCTTGTGTAGGTCTTCGATCCTGTTCCTGACATCCTTGGACAGCTCTTTGGTCTTTGCCATGGGTGGAGAGTTTGGAATCTGATGGTTTGATGGCTCCTGTGGACAGGTGTCATTTATACAGGTAACAAAATGAGATTAGCAGCACTCCCTTTAAGAGACTGCTTCTAATCTCAGCTTGTTACCTGTATGAAAGACACCTGGGAGCCAGAAATCCTGCTGAATGATAGGGATCAAATCCTTCTTTCCCTCATGAACATGCAGATCAGTCATTTGTTAGACGCATTTCTGCTGAATTTGTTGTTGTATTCTGTCTCTCAGTGTTACAATACACCGAACATTCCATTGTTAGACCGATCATTTCTTTGTGAGGGGCGAACATTCAACATCAGCAGGGGAGCAAATACGCATTTCCTTCTCTGTGTATGTATATATACACAAAAATATATAGATTAAAAAAAAAAAAATAATATATATATATATATATATATATATATATATATATATATATATATAATATATATAAAGCTGCGTAAACTAGCAGCGCTATATAAGTACCTGTATTAAATTTATAAATAATAGAACCTTAGATTGTACGCTCCTCGGGGGGGCGGGGACTGATGTGAATGTACAATATATATGTAAAGCGCTGCGTAAATTGACGGCGCTATATAAGTACATGGAAAAATAAAGTGTGAGCAGCATGCCAGACCCAAAACAGGAGGGATAAGGATCTAAATCCGGATTCTAGAGACTGCTGCCTGTCAATCGGGTTATTCTGGGGGGTGTAGGGGGGAGAAGGAAGTATCTATAATAAATAATAGAGGTGTGAGTGGCGCACCAGACCCAAAACAGGAGGGATAAGGATCCAAATTCTGATTTTAGAGACTGCTGCCTGTCATCCAGGGGGGAGACGGAGAAGGAAGCACGTGTAATAAATAATAATAGAGGTGTTAGTAGAGCGCCAGACCAAAACAGGAGAGATAAGAATCTAAATCAGGCTTTTAGAGACAGCTGCCTGCCATCCCGGGTATTCTCAGAGGGGAGAAAGATGATATTATTGGATATTTGTCATGAAAAGCAGTACCAGTTCTGGCAGAAATGGCCCCCCCCCCCCCCCCCCCCCCCCCCCCCCCCCCCCCCCCCCGCCTTGCCATTCAGATCACAACTCCGCCTCCAATTCTCTAACCGGTGACAGGCGGATAGATAATGAGACATTTCCTCCCCGATTATTATCATTCACGGTGGAGGCTTTCCTCCCATGTACAGGAAGAGGTGACAGTGATAATTGGTGGTTGGATCTCAGAACTATCCCGGTTCTGAAGGAGGAGTTCTCCTTTAAGCTGTAGAGGACGGCGGTGTATTTCTTGCAATCTGCGCACAGTGCCATGTATACCGCCGTACATTTTTATTCACCGAGACCAGACTCATTGAGAAGGAAACAAACCTTTGGGCTGACAATGTCTCCGGTCTGGAAAGTGTGCGCTCACAAAGGACGCAGCTGCGCGGCGCGGCGTCCATCCACATAGGAAAGTTGCAGATTTAATTACAGTCATTTGGAGAGATTGGGGTGTGAATTGGAGAAGGCGGAAACACAAAACAGACGAGAGCAATAATTAGACCCTTGAAGAGGGAAGACAACAAGCATCTGTTCGCCTGTCAGAGGAGACGCTTCCTGCACGCCAGCCGCCATCTTTCATTACTGGGGTCACAGGTATAAAAAAAAAAAAAAAAAAAAAAGAATTTGCAGTGTGAGGTGCAAAGGAACATAATGGGCGTGTACAGCGTGACCCACCTTCACCTACCTTGTTCCTGTAATTTACACCATGAACTGAACAAACACAGACCTTTCAACTGCTAATCGTAATGATGTTGCCGAGTAATCAGCAGAGGAAAATGAACCGCTTTGTGTTCTCTGGGGGAATACCAGTAAACAGCGTGGAGTCAGGATCCCAGGACACTGCGGCCATGAATCACGGTGATCACAGCCATAATGAACAGAAGATCTGGGAGATGCATGAAAATTCTGGATCTTATGACCTGATGGGCGCTATATCAGCATAAGGTCTCATACATAGTCACAGCCAAAAGCCCCGCCCCTTCAGAACAGCCCCACCCCTTTTACCACATTCCAGCAGTGCTGCACAGTGCATTGGAATGATACAAGTCTGGGGGGTGTCGGGGCAGGGCGGGAATGTAACCATCACGCCCGCCATTGATCATTAGGAATGCCGATTCAGATACTGTCTGTTCTGAAGTTCATCCAGGTAGACCAGACAATAACGGGTCACTTTATTGGACGAGGGAACTGCTGCATGCCAGTAGTTTTTATGGTAAAGCTGAAGTTTAATCCGCCTTCCCTGGTTCCCCTCCCCCCTCATCGACGTGATCAGAACATTTTTATATAAAAGGTTCCCTGTTTATTACAGATCTTATTTTATACACAGTTATGGTTTCACTGGATCTCTGTGTTTCTCTATGCAGTGCAGGCAGATCATGGCTGATGGGAGGGGCTGGCAGGGTACTGTACATGGCTTCCTGAAAACGTCACGGCACTCTGCATCAGTACGACTGTCAAGAGCCTTCAGTCCTGATGCAAGCGGTGGGAGGAGTTATGCAAATATCAAAATGCATTGATGGGTGGGTGTCAGTAGGGAGGAGTGGATGTTCCTAGGCAGGTAAAGCCCATGTGTGATGCGGAGTTTCCATGACTGAATGAACTGAAATCCAATTAGTGAAAGGGGTGAGGCCTGGGAGAGTCGGGCTGGGGAGGAAAGAGTTAGATGATGCTGGACGTCCTCCAGCCAGGACACCTGTGCAAGACTGAAGGGGAGGAGCCGGTACACCTGTGCAAGACTGAAGGGGAGGAGCCGGTACACCTGTGCAAGACTGAAGGGGAGGAGCCGGTACACCTGTGCAAGACTGAAGGGGAGGAGCCGGTACAAATGTGCAAGACTGAAGGGGAGGAGCCGGTGCAACTGTGCAAGACTGAAGGGGAGGAGCCGGTGCAACTGTGCAAGACTGAAGGGGAGGAGTCGGTGCAAAACTGTGTGCAAGACTGAAGGGGAGGAGTCGGTGCAACTGTGCAAGACTGAAGGGGAGGAGTCGGTGCAACTGTGCAAGACTGAAGGGGAGGAGTCGGTGCAACTGTGCAAGACTGAAGGGGAGGAGTCGGTGCAACTGTGCAAGACTGAAGGGGAGGAGCCGATACATCTGTGCAAGACTGAAGGGGAGGGGTCCGTACAACTGTGCAAGACTGAAGGGGAGGGTCCGTACAACTGTGCAAGACTGAAGGGGAGGGGCCCGTACAAATGTGCAAGACTGAAGGGGAGGGCCCGTACAAATGTGCAAGACTGAAGGGGAGGGGGGCCCTTACAAATGTGCAAGACTGAAGGGGAGGGGCCCATACAAATGTGCAAGACTGAAGGGGAGGGGCCTGTACAAATGTGCAAGACTGAAGGGGAGGGGCCTGTACAAATGTGAAAGACTAAAGGGGAGGAGCCAGTGCAACTGTACAAGACTCAAGGAAGGGCGGGGGAGGATTTAAAGGTTTCCTTTCATGAGACATACAAATTATATCAGAAGGCTCAATAGATGAGCAAAAGAATCCAGTGACTCATATCAGCCAATCAGAAATCCGCTTTGGGCTGCTCTCTGCTCTCGCAGAACACGACACTGTAAACGTTGATGTGAACCTGATTACTAAATCTCAGACTTTGCCGTATTAAATGTCATTTCAATCTTTATCAATGTGAGCTTTTGTTAAATGATCCTCTGCTGATCCTGCAATGGAGGTCCTGGTGCAGGCTCTTCCTGGTATAGGGTGACAACACTCTGCCCCCCCATTGCACTCTTGTGTTGTCACCCTGTCACACAGGCTTCTGATAAAGACCGCAAGTGGCCGTTCCTACACACATTACACAGACATGATCCAGTGTTGTCACCATCAGGAACCCCACCCTGAGAAATGCCATGCAGCCGTAACTGAAGTGGATGTAGACAGAAGTGGCTGCAAAGAGGCTGCATGAGATCTGCAGCACTGAGATTAAAAAGAAATGAAAAAAGGTGAAAGCAAGAATTTATAAAAAAAAAAAAATGAGAACGTTAGACGACACATGGTGCACAGAGCAACCTCAACGTCATCTAGTTGGGATTTATCATCACTAGAATAGGGGGGGGCGGGGTAGGTACACCACCTCGCCCTGGGTCTGTGCAGCCCCCACTGATGACACAGAGACCTCGACAGCTTCACACAGACTGAACGATCCAGCAGATCCAACAGGCTGTCGCTGGAGAGGCTCCCAATCATCAGGTGCAAGTCCTCAGAACACGACTGGCTGCACTCCTGAGGTGGGACTCTGTTCATGCTGTTTGGATGAATAAAGTTACCAGCAATTGAATTTTTCTGAGTGCTTCGAGTCTATTTCCTTGGATCTGTGCAGTTGTTGGGATGTAGGGTAAGCCCCTCTCTGCTGGTGTTCAGCACCTGATCTTCTATGACAGGGATCTCCAAACTATGGCCCACAGCTCACCTCCGGCCCACAGCTCACCTCCGGCCCACAGCTCACCTCCGGCCCACTACAAGAACTTATCTGGCCCCCCAGGTACAGTCAGTGGTGTATGGTCAGCAGAGGGTGCCTATGGTCTCTGCTTCTGATGGAAGGGGGCATGCTGATGGAGACCCTGAAGGAAGGGGGGATCCAGATGGAGACCCTAATGGAAGGGGGGACCTGATGGAGACCGTGATGGAAGGGGGGGACCCAATGGGTACCCTAATGGAAGGGGGGAGCTGATGGAAGACCATAATGGAAGGGAAGGCCCTGAAGGAGACCCTGATGGAATAGAGGCCCCTGATGGGGACCCAGATTGGCACCCTGAAAGAGACCTGATGGAAGGGAAGGCCCTGAAGGAGATCCTGGTGGAATAGAGGACCCTGATGGGGACCCAGATTGGCACCCTGAAAGAGACCTGATGGAAGGGAAGGCCCTGAAGGAGACCCTGATGAAATAGAGGACTCTAAAGGGGGCCCTGCTAGAAGGGGGGACCCTGAAAGAGACCTGATGGAAGGGGCTCTAATGGAATGTGGGACCATGATGGAGACCCTCATGAAAGGAGGATCCCAGATGGAGACCCTCATGGAAGGGGGGACCATACTGAAGAACCTGAAGGAAGGGGGGACCCAGATGGGGACCCTAATGGAAGTGGGGACGTGATGGAGACCATGATGGAAGAGGGGACCCAGATGGGGACCCTAATGGAAAGGGGGACCTGATTGAGACCATGATGGAAGGGAGGGCACTGACAGAGACCCTGATGGAAGACAGGACTCTGTTGGGGACCCAGATTGGCACCTGAAAGAGACATGATGGAAGGGAAGGCCCTGATATAGACCCTGATGGAAGAGGGGACTCTGATGATGACCCTGCTAGAAGGGGGGACCCAGATAGGCACCCTGAAAGAGACCCAGATGGAAGGGGCTCTAATGGAATCCCTCATTAAATGAGGGACCCAGATGGAGACCCTCATGGAAGGAGGGGACCATGCTGAAGAACCTGATGGAAGGGGGGACCCAGATGGAGATTATTTGTGAGCCTGCTAATATTTGTAAAATATACAAAGTGGCTTTCGTACTGAAAAGTTTGGAGACCCCCGTTGTAGGAGGATGACCTAATTTAGGGCCTGGAAGCACTGTAGACAGCATTTGTATATTTTTGGTGCGCTGGGGACCTGGCTCCCTGACTGTTTCTGAGCACTTCACATCCTCCATGCACCCCTCTGCGCTCAGCTCCCGGCCCAGCACCAGCAGAGCAGACGCTCTAATCTCCCGGAGTGAGATGCGGTCAACTGGAATGTAATTAAAGCTCTTTCACAGGACTGATGGCAGCTGCTCCGCTCCCGGACCTCCTCAATCTGAGGCCTCTTCAATTATTAATACGGGGGAATGAGGAGGCACGGCGTGCTGCAAAATGTCACAGTGAATCCTAATGAAGATCTCCGCCGTTTACCAAATAATTACATTGAATTTCTGAGCCGTTTCCCTTCAGTCTGTCACCCCGGGTCACGTTTGCCTCAAACGTTGGAGAACCACAAAGCATTACTGAGAACATACCTCAACATCAGAGATAAAGGAAGCCAGCAAAGGGCGGCATCAAACACCCGGCACAGGACTAAAGAGACCACCCCAAACCCAGGACCGAGCTTCTGCTGAATGACGTGTGTAGAAAACTCTCTGGTCTGCACATCTGCTGTGGCATGGATGTGTTACATCATGAGAATGCAGCAAGATGAATGAGACTCCAAGTTAGGTGGGGACAAAGCTGTGCAAGATGACAGTAGGGTCTCCATCCAAGGTCCTGGAGTGTGAGGAAATAGACTTGACGTAACCCCCCCCCCCCCCCCCCCCCCCCCCCCCCCTTGCCTGTCAGTATCCACCTAAAACATCTATATCAATGCCGCCACCCCTCTTACCCCTTAAGCCCCCGGTTACATCGGCTGCGATTTGGCATGTGATTTGCATGCCAGGCGACTTGCAAATCGTATGCCAAGTTGCATCCTAGACATCTAAACTTTTCTCTGTGGCCAGAGATATCAGTGCCCCCTGTACAAAGCTCCCATGGCAAAGCATTACCCCTGTACTCCTGTGTGTGTCCAGTGACGCTGGGGTATCAGTGACCCCATAACAAAGCTGTACTCCTGTGTCCAGTGACCCCGGGGTATCAGTGACCCTATAACAAAGCTGTACCTTTGTACTCCTGTGTCCAGTGACCCTGGGGTGTCAGTGACCCTATAACAAAGCTGTACCCCTGTACTCCTGTGTCCAGTGACCCCGGGGTGTCAGTGACCCTATAACAAAGCTGTACCCCTGTACTCCTGTGTCCAGTGACCCCGGGGTATCAGTGACCCTATAACAAAGTGTACCCCTGTACTCCTGTGTCCAGTGACCCTGGGGTATCAGTGACCCCTATAACAAAGCTGTACCCCTGTACTCCTGTGTCCCAGTGACCCTGGGGTATCAGTGACCCCTATAACAAAGCTGTACCCCTGTACTCCTGTGTGTGTGTGTCCAGTGACGCTGGGGTATCAGTGACCCCATAACAAAGCTGTACCCCTGTACTCCTGTGTGTGTCCAGTGACGCTGGGGTATCAGTGACCCCATAACAAAGCTGTACTCCTGTCTGTGTCCAGTGATCCTGGGGTATCAGTGACCCCTATAACAAATCTGTACCCCCCTGTACCCTGTGTCCAGTGACCCTGAGGTATTAGTGACTCTTATAACAAAGCTGTACCCCTGTACTCCTGTATGTGTCCATTGACCCGGGGATATCAGCATCTCCTGATATCCCGGGGTGGAGAGTGAAACCGCCTCAGCCCAGGCTCTATTCAGGCAACTCCCCTAATGTGTTTCTCCCCAGGGGACGAAACGTGTTTGGGGTGACCTGGATGGAGCCCAGGCTAAACTGTCTCACACACAGGTTTTGTAGTGATGTGCGGCTTATAGGATTTTTCCCTTTGTATTTGTATTCCTCACCTGCAGTTCCATCAGCTTACCATAGAACAGAACCCATTGGATCCTCGAGCAGCACCCACAATTTGGCATTGGTCCCCTATAAAAAAAAAGCTGTATCCCTGTACTCCTGTCTGTGTCCACAGACTCCTAGATATCTGTGTTCCCTACAAATCCTCAATAATAAAGCTGTAGTCCTGTGAGTCCCAGAGGTCCCTCCTGCCAGAGATGATTGCGCATCCCATACATAATATAACACAGGTGGCCCCCCGTACTGTCCCCAAACCCCAATATCCAAGGTGGACGTTTGAACTCCTATCAGTGCACCCACAGACCACGGAATAATTGGGTCCTTAATACAAACCCCCATAACAGCAGGTGGCAGACGTACTTGTAGTGACCAAACCGCTTTATAAACTTCTGATGGCTGCGGTCATTCCACATGCTTGTTTCGGGGCTCTGACTCCATGTTGGAGTTTCTAATCTGTGTTGGTAGGTTCA